CCAGCTCCTCCTCCCGCGCCTCTGCGCCTGCGGGAATGCTGCAGCGTTGGCGCCATGTCCTCATCGAGACTCCCTGGGTTGCTTAGCCGCGCCTTGGCCACGGCACGGACAACAAGTAAGGCGCCCGGGGCCAAGGTCGCGGGCGGGTCCCGCAGGCCCGGGTGTTGCGAGAAGTGCCTCCCGCGGAAACAGCCGTGTGTATCCCTGACATTTGGCGGCCCAGGGGCTGCCGACCTCCTCTTCAGCTCGTCCACCCGCGCCCTGACCCTGGGCAGTCCCTGCCCCGCGCGGGTCTCAGGGGTGGGACTAGAGCCGGGAGGTCGCCCAGGCCCTTCCATCCCGGACGTCCGCCTCCTTCCGGCCTCTGCTCTTGGCCTAGGAGGACGTCAGACGTGCCGGACTGTTGGTCCCGGGGCTCGGAGAGGAACGCTGCCCTCGTGCCCCTGAGAAACGTGGAGAATAAGACCCGCTAGGAAGGGCGTCGTTCTTTTGCTTATTTATCAGAAAGGGTTTGTGACAGTTGAAAGTATGAAAAGAATAGGGCAGAAGTGGGCCAAAGGCAAATAAGTATAACAAAATCAGGAATGGTTAGAAAAGCATGGGTGTTTTCAGTACAAACCATTTCTTAATCCATTTTAGATTAATTTTTCTTAGAAAAACTTATTGTTAAAGTTAGCAACTCATGGAGTATACTAACGATAATTTTAATTTATAATATCCACAGACATGTATATGAATTGAAAAGGGAATTATTGCCCTTATAGTAAATGGACCCAGATTTCTATGCGATTTTCATTTTTGTGCAATTATTTACCCCCAGTACAAACAAATTACTTGTAAAAGTCAAAATGGTTCAGAAATGAATAGTATAGAACATGAAAGCCCCACATTATTCAACCCCCAGGGTAATGACTGTTTAAAATTCGTTGTGTTCATTCAACATCCCTTTTTAATTAAGTTTAAACACTTATCGGTGAAGTATTTGATACCAAAAATATATACATGAAGCACAACCAACGTCTGTGAACTTACTCTCCAATTTTAGAAATCGACTATTTCCATGGCCAAGGAGCTCCCTGTGTGCTGCCCCTCACGTAGGTGTGTAGCTTTGTTTTTGATCTTCCCAGAAATGGCTTCATGTCATTCATTGTATTTATTTTGTTTGTTTTCAGCTAACACTGTCCTGAGAATGATCTACATTGACATAAGAGGTTGTTATTTATCTGTGTGACTAGATGATATATTTCCCATTTAGAGAATTTCTTTAAATATATCATTTTGTATTCTGAATGCAGTATATGAAATCTTTGTATCTGGTCCCACTGCTTGGTGGTTTGTTCTGCTGACCTTTGTTTGTGATGGCCTGTTTCCTTGAACTTGACTGGGATTCTTTTGGTGAGACTTCTATAAGACACGGTTGAGCGAGTGGCTCTCTTCTCAGAGGATTTTCTTCTGTCTTTACCAGGTGTCTGGGAGCACTTTAACCTTAGACTTGGGTCCACTTTATAATAAGATGCTCCCTTTGAGGGGGTTTGGACCAGGCAAATACTGTGAGTTCAGACCTAAACACAGTTGTAGTCAGCCAGTGACTGCAGAATCTCAGAAGGGCTTTCTTTTTCGTGTCTTCATTCAGAACCCAGGTTGAAATGGACACTTTTCCTTCCCTACCTGTTCTCTTCTGAAACTGAAGTTTTCTTCTGATTTCTTGCTCTTTGGTCTAGTCACATGAGTATCACCTGGGAGCTTGATAAAAATGAAGAAATCGCAAGCCCCACTCAGAATTGCTTAGAATCTGCATTTCAACAAGATCCCGGTCCCCTGATAGTTGGCTGCACATTTTAAACCTTTTGCTTCACTTTCTTTTCTCAGTGTGTGAGCCTCCCTGAGTCCTGACTCTTAGGCTCTCTGGTCTTGCCTAGTCTTCAGACACTTGTCATCTCCTTGCTGTTCTATAAACCAAGCCCTATAAGCCAGCAAAGACACAAGATAAGTAGCAGCTTCAGTTTAAATGTTTACCTCACTGGACTGTTTTTTCACTTTATCACTATTTATTTTCTTAAAAATTCTTTCTCTGATTTAGAAGTGTTTTTTTGCCTTTTTAGTTAATTGTATGGCTGTAAGGCAGTGGTTCTCAACCTTCCTAATGCCGCGACCCTTTAATATAGTTCCTCGTGTTGTGGTGACCCCCAACCATAAAATTATTTTCATTGCTACTTCATAACTGTAATTTTGCTACTGTTATGAATTGTACTGTAAATATCTGATATGCAGGATGTATTTAGGTGACCCCTGTGAAAGGGTCGTTCAACCCTGAAAGGGGTATCTCAACCCACAGGTTGAAAACCACTGCATAGGGTTTTGGCATGTCTGATTTGTCAGATTACCACAAACAGGAATTCTGAGTTGTTTTTTGTTTTTTGTTTTTTGTAATTTTTGGCCAGGGCTGGGTTTGAACCCACCACCTCCAGTATATGGGGCCTGCGCCCTACTCCTTCGAGCCACAGGCACCGCCCACTGTTTGTTGTTTTTTATGTGTATGTATCATTCATTCTTTTGGTTTTATTATTTCTTCTTTTAGAAGGTCAACTTCTTGTCTACAATGCCGGTGTAAACACAACTCTAGGCTTTGGTAAAGGCCAAACCATGCCTCAAAGTAGAAGACATGGGCTTTCTGGTAGTTATTTCCTTACGTTCTTGAACGGTGGTTTTTATTTTAAGTTAATCAACAATTTCCTCTGTAGTTGTAGTCAGAAGTGAGCTGATAGGCACAGTGTAATACTAACCTTAATATAGTTATTATTACTCAACATCCAGTGTTTGATGGGCAGAATTAACAGTAACGGTTCTTGGGCTCACCTTCACTTGTCTACTCATCCGTCTCATCTGATACACACTTTTCTTTCTTGTTTGCTCTGAAGCTGCTTGTTCTGTGCCTCATCACCCCCACCCCTGCCAGGCTGATGTACATGCAGGTGTCCCAAGCTGTAAAGCCACTAGGTGCTGAGGAGTCGGAGTCTTTATCTTTTGTACAGAAACAAGGGGAATTCTCTCCCCCACCCATTATGTCATACTGTTACCTAACTGCAAAAATAGTTCTTTTTAGGTCTCAGAGTCCCTTGAGAAAACTGTTCTTTCAGCTTTCTCCTGTAACCATTCTTTGTACAGATATGGTCTTTCAAAAGTGCACAAGTCCAGCCCGAGGGACCTGTTTCTCGAACTTACATTTTGCTACTCTTTTTCTTTCCCCCAAGATATGCTAGTGTTCCTGATCGTCACTAAAAACTCCTATGCAAATTGCCTTCTGCAGCCCATAGTTAGGCTCAACTTACTGATGCACTCACTGTGTGCACCTATAGGAACACATGTTCATTTCTCCACCGAGTTGGGTGCATATATGTGTGCATACCACATCTTGCCATGCGTAATGCACTCCTGGGTATAATGCACACCCACATTTTTGGCCAAAACTTTCAGGACAAAAAATCTTTCATTTAAATTTTTTTATTCAAATTTGTATTTGTTTATATTTAGGTACTTGTTTTTAATATTATAAAGGAATTCAGCATTTATTTTTAACATGGTTCAAGAAATTTTATGTAACAAATAATTACAAAACATAACAAATTCAAGGTACAACAAGCTACAACAAACAACAAGCTGATTAACACATTCCAGGGTGTTATTTTGCGTATGATATCATTATTGCTTTCTATAGTTACACTGTTTATACAGATGTGGAATTAATACTACATATATATAACATGGATCCTTATTGTTTTCCTTCAAAAACTCGGGCAAAAAAGTACACATTATGCATGGCATAATACAGGAGGATTGTATATATGTATATATGTGTATATTTGTTTGAAGCAGGGGATATGGTTATATAACAAGAACTAGAATATGAATAAAACATATAATGAAATAACATTCTAATTATAGGTAATACTATCAAGATCCTCCAGATAATTCTGTAAAATAATAACAATTTGTCACTATACTAAATGCTTTGCATAAATTGTCCTGATTATTCAGTAATCTCATGAGATAGGTACTGTCATTTCTAGAGGGAGAGAAACAGAAAGGGTAAGGTCAGACAACTAGTAAGTGGTTGTATTAGTTTTCCTATTGTTGCTGCAACAAATTTAGCACCTTAAAACATATTACAGTTCTAGAGGTGAGAAGTCTTAAATGGGTCTTATTGAGCTGAAATCAATCATTAGCAGTTCTGTGTTTCTTCTGGTCGCTCTGGGGAAAACTTGTTTGCTTCCCTTTTCCAGCTTCTAGAAGCTGCCCACATTCCTTGACCCCACCCCTTCCTCCACCTTCAAAGACAGCAGCCCAGACCAGGTCGGTTTCTCCCATCTCTCTGGTTCTCTTTCAGTTCTCTCTTCTCTTTTGAAGGATCTCGTGACTCCATTTACCCATCCAGATACTCCAGAATAATCTCCCTAGTTTAAGGTCATCCAATTAGCAACCTTAATTCCATCTGCTACCAGAATTGTGCTTTGCTGTGTACCCTAATCTATTCACAAATTCTAGGTATTGGGTTCTGATCATGTTTGAAGCCATTATTCTGCTTGCAGCAGGGATGTAACTGGAAGTGGTACCCAAATTTATCTGTCTCTAAAGCTGTTACGTTAGGAAGTTGAAAACTCCCATCACTGAGATCACTTTTTCAGTGTGATTTTGCCCTTATTGAACATTATCTTAATAAGGGGGTGGATAATTTTCATAGACTGCAAGTATAACTTTCTCTTTACAAACTAAAGAGGAAGTGATCTCACTTACACGTTGCAGCTGCCCCATACATTTTTTAGTTGATAGGAAAAGAGGACCATAATTAGGAATCAAATGTAAGAATACTAAATATAGCCACTAGTGACTTCTAGAGATTTAAACACTAAAATTGTCATTTAAAAGTTCATACTAATATACATACCTACTTTTAATGTTCCGACTCCTGGTAATTTTGACAATGGTTTATATAAGTGGTATATAAAGGTTTCTACCATTTAATAATGGTTAACTAACTTATTTCCTAACTCTTCTTTTCAAACTGGTTGTCCCCCAGGAAGGGAAATGGCTATCTGAAAGATAGGGGCAGAGGGAAGAATTTCCACTATACGTTCTTTGAACCTTTTGAACTTTGATAAATGTGAATGTGTAAACTAAAAACAAATTATTAAATGTTTAAAGTAGAATAAATTTACAACTCCTATTTTTCTATCTGCACTCTGCTAGGATTTCATTCTTTGAGGAAAACAAGTTCTTCTCCGGGAGAAAAGTCGGAGCTCATCAAACAATCACTTAAGAAGCCAAAGTTACCAGAAGGTCGTTTTGATGCACCTGAGGATTCCCACTTGGAGAAGGAACCCCTGGAAAGTGAGTCGAGTAAAGCTCCTCCCTCAGGTATCACAGAAAGTGTTTTAGTTGAAGAGAAAATAGATGTTATTTTTGCTTATAATTCCTTATTAACAACAATGAGTAAAATCATCATTTTCCCATACTTACAATTAATATGAATAAGTTTATTTTTTCTTTTTTAAGAGATAGAGTCTTGCGCTGTCACCCAGGCTGGAGCACAGAGGGGCAAAGCAACAAATTTTCCCCTCGAGCCTCCAGAAGGAACACAGCTCTCCTGACATTTTTCTTTAGCCCAGGAAGACCCATGTCAGATTTCTGACCTTTAGAATTTTAAGATAAAACATTTGCATTGGGTGGCACCTGTGGCTCAAAGGAGTAAGGCACTGGCCCCACATGCTGGAGGTGGCGGGTTCAAACCCAGCCCCAGCCAAAAACTGC